TGACCAGGATGGTCTCGATCTCTTGACCTCGTGATCCACCTGCCTCGGCCTCCCAAAGTGCTGGGATTACAGGCTTGAGCCACCGCGCCCGGCCAAAAATCTTTCTCTTAATAGGATGGATGAAGGTTCTCTTTTTCTTTTCCATTTACTTCATATGTCCACAGGAGGAAATTACAAAGTGACTTCCCTTTCCGGGCATCTCCAGAAAGGGGAGATGAGAAGGAGCATGGGGCGGCTGGTGCCGCCAGTGCCATGGCCAGGGAGGAAAGAGGTTGTTTCTAGAATTAGGATCCTTAGAGTGATCCACTCTTTTTTTTTTTTTGAGACAGATTTTGCTCTTGTTACCCAGGCTGGAATGCAATGGCACGATCTCAGCTCACCGCAACCTCTGCCTCTTGGGTTCAAGCAATTCTCCTGCCTCAGCCTCCTGAGTAGCTGGGATTACAGGCACGCACCACCATGCCCAGCTAATTATTTGTAGTTTTAGTAGAGACGGGGTTTCACCGTGTTGGCTAGGATGGTCTGGATCTCGACCTCGTGATCCACCCGCCTCCCAAAGTGCTGGGATTATAGGCGTGAGCCACCGCGCCCGGCCAGAGTGATCCACTCTTATGCACCCTTGGGAAGTCTTCACCTACCTCAGAGGGTCACATACCCCAGGCTAAAGAGGGCTAGCCTAGGGCAGGGAAGTCCCACCACAAGGAATGTCACCACCACTGCCCGAAAAAGGCAGGCTGCGCCAGCACCTCTTCCAGGGCCATGTAACCAGCAGCCTGGCACCCAGTGCTGCACTGTCTAATGGAAACGCTTCTCCAGCAGGCCCTGAGGACTGAGAGGCTGCCTTGGGCGAGTCCAGCATGTTCGTGAGGATGCAGCCACAAGGGACAAAGGGGCAGCTCTGCTGTCTCCAGGGGCTTTGCAGCATCAGAAGTTGGGAGGGAGAAGAGGAGGGTGAAATTGTAAATCACTACCTGGTTTGTTCCCTCTCTTCCTAGCTGAGTGGCTCTGGAAATGTGATGCTACCTTTCTGGACTCCGTTTCTCTATCTGTAAAGTGGGGATCACAATAGTCCCTTCTTCTTGGGGTTGTTTGGGTACCAGTGAGCTGGCCCATGCAGAGCACTTAGCACTGCCTACAGTAAGAGTTCAGTAGGATCCATTTGCTGGGACTATCGTCTCCTTTGACCCTCTCAACCATCCTGTGAAATTCACAAGTCAGGAGAGACAGTTTAGCTCACAAAGGAAATATTTGTTGTCTTTAAGGATTATATTGAGGTGCTGGCAGGATTTGATGAGCGGTATTTAGCTAGATCTGGAATTACAAAAGCTCAGTATCTTATATTCATCAAACAAAATACACACAATGCCTGCAAGACACAAGTGGATTGGTGCCATGGTTAATCTCCACTGCGGTGGTGTTAAGAGGTGGGGCCTTTCCTGAGGTGATTAGGCCAAGAGAGCTCTACCCTCATTAATGGAATTTAATGCCCTTATAAAAAGGGCTTGAGGGGTTGGGCACCATCTATCACAGCTATAATACCAGCATTTTGGGAGGCAGGTGGATCACTAAAGGCCAGGAGTTCAAGACCAGCCTGGCCAACATGATGAAACCCTCTCTACTAAAAAATACAAAAATTAGCCAGGTGTGGTGTTGGGTGCCTGTAATCCCAACGACTCAGGAGGCTGAAGCAGGAGAATCACTTGAACCTGGGAGGTGGAGGTTGCAGTGAGCTGATGTCATGCCACCGCACTCCAGCCTGGGCAACAGAGTGAGATTCTGTCTCAAAAAAAGGGCTTGAGGGAACCAGCTAGAACCTGCCACCTTCCGCCTTGTGAGGACACAGCAAGAAGGCAGCTTTCACCTGGCACCAAATCTGCTGGCATCTTGATCTTGGGCTCCCCAGCCTCCGGAACTGTGAGAAAGAAATTTCTTTCTTTCTTTCTTTCTTTCTTTCTTTCTTTCTTTCTTTCTTTCTTTCTTTCTTTCTTTCTTTTCTTTCTTTCTTCTTTCTTTCTTTCTTTCTTTCCTTTTCCTTCCTTCCTTCCTTCCTTCCTTCCTTCCTTCCTTCCTTCCTTTCTTCTTTCTTTCTTTTTCTCTCTCTCTCTTTCTTTCTTTTTCTTTCTTTCTTCTTTCTTTCTTTTTCTTTCTTTCTTTCTCTTTCTCTCTTTCTCTTTCTCTCTCTCTCTCCTTTCTTTCTTTCTTTCTTTATCTCTCTCTTTCTCTCTTTCTTTCTTTTCTTTTCTTTCTTTCTTTCTTTCGGGTTTTTGCCATGTTGCTCAGGCTGGTCTCGAACTCCTGAGCTCAGGCAATCCACCCTCTCAGGCTCCCAAAGTGCCAGGATTACAGGCGTGAGCCACTGCGCCCAGCCATAAATTTCTTTTTCTTTCTTTTTTTTTTTTATTTTATAATTTAAAAAAATAGTATGGATTGCTTAACGGATTGGCGTGTCATCCTTGCACAGGGGCCATGCTAATCTTCTCTGTATCATTCCAATTTTCAGCATATGTGCTGCTGAAGCGAGCACCATAAATTTCTTTTCTTTTCTTTTTTTTTTTTAAATTTGACCAAGTGTGGTGGCTTGTGCCTGTAATCCCAGCACTTTGGAAGACTGAGGCAGGTAGATCACTTGAGGTCAGGAGTCTGAGACCAGTGTAGCCAACATGGCAAAACCCTACTAAAAATACAGAAGGAGGCTGAGGCAGGAGAATCACTTGAACCGGGGAAGCGGAGGTTGCAGTGAGCCCAGATTATGCCACTGCACTCCAGCCTGGGCTGCAGAGTGAGACTCTGTCTCAAACAAACTAACAAAAACTTTGTAACCCATTTATGTTATTTTGAGCAACTGTATACTAAAAATAATCCAAAAGAAATATTTAGTACTTAGGGCTTTGTGGTCACAAAAAAACTATATTAAGTTTTACAGTTTTAAGCTGCACCCGGCCTATATTAGGTTTTAATTTGTAGGATATACATATCTCTGTTGCAGAGAAATAAGATAGTATGATCAATAAGACTGTTAGGCAAAAAACCAACCAAACAAAAACCTTTCATTCACATGGCATTTTGAGAGTGGAGTGGAAATATGGGTTCTAGCACAAAAAAGATCATAGTGTCTGACTTGTTCATGTTTGATACATGGATGATGGGCGGTTCAATTGCTATGGCATCTAGAAGAGCAATGCAACAGTGTTATCTTTTTTTTTTTTTTTT